ACCACTTGGGAGTCGTCTAAACCATAAGCCCATGGCTTCGCAGGTTCTTTCAACGGACAAGAAAACTACCTTTTTTCTTCACCATCCTGCATGTCGTCACTTCCCTGATGCTCATAAAGAGAGAAAGAAAGATAGATAGAGAGAGAGAGAGAGAGAGAGAGAGAGAGAGATAAAATGGGCTACACAAGCCCTGAGCCCACATCACCTCGTACCCTGTTTGGGCTTGGGCTTAAGTCTGGAGAAAAAGAGAAAGATTGAACATGACCAGACTAAAGCCCAAGCCTAAACAGGGTACGAGGTGATGTGGGCTTAAGGCTTGCATGGACCATTCTCTCTCTCTCTCTCTCTCTCTCTCTTTCTCTCTCTATAGATATACATCTCCTGCCCTCTCTCACACACACAGAAGCACACTCAATCTCTATTTTGCTCTGGTACGCAGAAGAGACGGGTGCTCAGGGCATGTTCTGACGAAAGAGGAACTCCTGCCTGTAGCGGCACTTGCACTTGCCACTTCCTCCGACTTTTTGCCGGCCACCCCTGGAGTGTCAAGAAAACCAAGAGACACAGAAGAGAGAGAGAGAGAGAGAGAGAGAGAGAGAGAGAGAGAGAGAGAGAAGAGAGAGAGAGAGAGAGAGAGAGAGAGAGAGAGAGAGAGAGAGAGAGAGAGAGAGAGAAGAGAGAGAGAGAGAGAGAGAGAGAGAGAGAGAGAGAGAGAGAGAGAGAGAAAGAGAGAGAGAGAGAGAGAGAGAGAGAGAGAGCGAGAGAGAGAGAGAGAGAGAGAGAAAGAGAGAGAGAGAGAGAGAGAGAGAGAGAGAGAGAGAGAGAGAGAGAGAGAGAGAGAGAGAGAGAGAGAGAGAGAGAGAGAGAGAGAGAGAGAGAGAGAAGAGAGAGAGAGAGAGAGAGAGAGAGAGAGAGAAGAGAGAGAGAGAGAGAGAGAGAGAGAGAGAGAGACGGTAGCACTCTTGCATGTATCAGAATCAGTCGCAGTTGGTGGCGAAGATGTGCGTCAAGTGCCCAGAGAAATGGGTGGGGAAGATGTCCTCATTAAGGGATGGAGACTATAAGGCTTTGACCGGTTTTCTACTTCTATGATAGATAAGGCCCAATGGCCTTACAGATTCTCAGTGGCGAGCTTATTTTCTCTTGCCCACACCCTTGTCGTGCTCGACCTGGCCAAATGGATGAAAAAAGAGGAGTAAGCCACTGGGAGAATTAAATCCATCGATGACTGAACCCACTTCTCTCTCTCACACGCACTCTCACTCACTCACTCTCTCACACACACACAATTGGAGCTCATGGTGTCCACCATGTAGTCAATTTACAGGGCATTCTTAGGCTAGGAATTTGATTTCTTTCATTTATATATAACTAATATATACAACGAAAAATTACTAGGTGATGTGTACTTGTCGTTGTATTTAAATAATAATTATATAATAATATTTATAATTAAGACTTAATAAGATATTAATACATATGTAAGTGTCAAGTCAAACATAAGGAGATAGATTAATCCTTTGTGAAAAATTAATTTAGTTTATATATAGAGTGAATTTAATATTTTATTACTATTTAATAAAAAATAATAAAATAAAAGATTGAGGTGAGAAGAATAAAAAAAGGAAATAGAGAAGGGAAGAAAAAGAGTGAGAGAAGAGAAAGAGAGAGGGAGAGAGAGAGAGATCTCATGAGAGACAAATAGAGAAGGAGAAGTATCATGAGAGATAGAGAGAGAAGAAAAGGTCTCACGAGAGGGAGAGAGAGAAATAAGACGATAATAAAGAGAGAGAAATACAATTAACCTATTTTCACATTGATCATGATTTTCAGACGAATGTGTGCTAAAAAATTCTCACACATGACATGAGGTCAACTATGAATGTCTCCACCTTATTTTAATAGTTCAAAGTTCATTAATCAACCTTTAATCTCACTGATTTTGTATTCAAAAATAAAAAAATATTTATTATTCATGAAATGTCGGAAACACAAATACTTCAAGGTTCAATTGTGAAGATCAATAAAAAATAAATTAGACACAATCCTAGTTTAATCTTAGATGAGTTTTAAAGGATTAAAAAAAAGAACAAAAATCATTCATTAGGATTTAAATTAGTTCTACTGATTTCACTTGAAATATATTTGAAATGGAAATAACTTGTTGTAAGATATAAATAAATATTGAAAACACATCAATAAATTACAAAAGTATGAAATAAATCATTGCCCAAATTTAGTCTGCCTCTTAGGAAATTAGAGACACAAGTATGATAGCTTGATTTTATCTGGACATGCCACACCATGTTGGAAGTCATAGAAATATTATTCTGAAGCATTAGTAGCTTGTCGGAGAGATCTATAGAAAAGAGGGGTCAACTATGCTGTCACCATCATCTAGGGAAAGAAGGGAAGAGTTGACCACTCATCGGAGATCTTGAGTGCAGTTGAGGAAGAAAGGAACAAACTTGTTGATCTCTAGAGGCATTGATCGCCCAAAAGGAGGAAAGAACGGATGTCGTAATGTAACTTTTGTCGGGTTTTTAAAGATAATTAATAATATCTATTTTACTAGATAATAATTGATTATTATCTTTATATCCTCGATAGTGATACATGTGAAAACTTAAGTTCTTAGTATTACACTTCACATGCCACTAGATTTGATATGTTTTGTCGCATAGTATGTTGAGCAATGCAAGATTAATCCACCACAAATCACTACCAACCAGAAATTTAAGTCTCTAGTACCATGGCACTTCGCTTGTCGTCGAATCATCGTTTCTAGTCGTGTGTGTGCTAAGTGACATAGGATTCATGAATCATCAATGGATTGCTTTATGCTTCAAGTATCGTGGTAGTTCACCAACTATAGGATCTATCTAACCTGATAACATGGCGTGCTGAGCGTCACTAGATCACACTGCACTCCAAACCTACACAAACAAATTTAGTCCCACATCGGAAGTAGTTGAGGGATTGAACTGAATATATACCAAAGTTACGCTCTCTAAACAAAGTTTTTTCTTGAATAAAATAATACTTGAGACTATTTTGGGAGAAGGTAATAGGTGGTCCATCCTTACATGCACACGTGTACGACTGATGTGACTTAATCATTATATAATAAATCACAGAAATTAAAATTTATAAAACTAGAAAATATCAATTTCTAGATTTTAAAAATATTTTAGAACAAATAAATAAAATATAATTCGATAAAAGGTTTTAAAAATAGTAGAGAATTTTCAAGTAGATCACAGAGATGTAAGATAATATCGAGTAACATTTCAAAATTTATCTAGAACATAATTTTTTATGAGTTTTAGACTAAATAATAAATATAAAATATATCTAAAAATTTACAAAAAAAGAAAATAAGAGTGCAAACTTCAAGATGATGTTAGGGTCTTGAGAAACTCATTCAGGCAAAAAAAAAATTATGCCTGATGATTTTTACGTAAGTGATTACAAACGATTTAGTGGGTCAAATGAAGATTTATAAAAGCCAAAAGAATCTTAATTAAATGAAGAATATTTTAGTAACTTGAAATCTTGAAAGTATCATTAAATTAAGTAAAAATTAAGCTAAAAACAAGAAAGGTAGAGTTTCAACCTAACGACAATAATCACTAGAATTTTGTATGTTTGAAATGATTATTATGTGATGTCCATGTCCTCACAGGCTCTCTTTGGACATGGACTATTTGGGCATTCATTGAGTCTACTTCCAAAGTTTAGAAAATGATGGTGGAAATTAAACTAGTTAAAAAATAATAAAATAGAGTTTTAGCATCACCACGACAATGCGTCGGTGATGCATCGAAATCTTCAACATTTGAAAGAATTATCGTGCAGTGACTATGGCCTCAAAAACTCTTCTTGGACAATGACGACATGGGTAATCTCTAGATCTTTTTGTGAAGTCTGGAGATCAATGAAATGAGCCATTGAATCATCTCTAGCAGATGTCACCTAATAGAGTGGAAAAACGACAACATTGTAGCTTTTAGGCGTCTGTCACTTGGTAGAGATGAGTTGGATGGAGGTGGGTCATGTCTTAGGGTGTTTCATCCTTAGGTCTACGTAATAAAAGGAGGCTCTTCATCGTATCTAGTATGCTCTCAAGAGGTGGTGACTCATCTTTTGATAGATCGTCCTCTTCCCCATACTAGCTTTTTCATCGATCAATCAAAGATAATTTACTAGATAGATTTGTGATCTTTTTATCTAGAATCATTAAGTAATTTAATGAACCTTCATGAATTATATTGATGAGATTTTCGTCAATGATTAAACAATTACGGCAGCTTAATCCTTCATTGGTAATCTACAAGAAAATCATGATTTAATTAGATAAAAATATGACTTGGCTCTAATAAAATTCAAATTCTCATTGGTCGTTAGCTTGCATGAGAGTGTGAAATAAGTATGTGAATACCCTTATAAAATGATGTCATCATGGTACCTCCTTCTGATAAATAAGAGGTATTTGAGGTATGAAAATTATTAAAACATTATAGGAAAGTTGTGATCATTAGTTTAGTCCCACATCGATTATATGTCAAATTTTGAGATGAATATATAGCAATACAAGATTTGGGAAATAATGAGTCTCTTTCTTACATGTGTACAACTACTTCTTACCCCACGCCTAGCTGGCCATCAGTGATGTGGAAGGGGAGAGACCCACATGTGCCCCCTATCGGTCCATCATTAGCCACTTGAGCTCTTGCTCGTGGCTTTGCTCAATTGGCTTTTCACTCACTTGTAGGCCCGGTTGGCTAACGAGTTCTTCCCTTTTTCTATATTTTTTTTTTATTATTTTTATTTATCTCAAAAATAAGATTATAAAAATTATATATAAATTTACATAAAATTATATAATTAGATGAAAATTCACAGTAACTAATTAAAAATATTTTTTCACAATTTAACTCTAATATAAGTCTATTTATCATGAGTTAAGATTAAAACTATGTTATTAATTAATTATTAACTTATGATAATAAAGACTTATCAACGACACTCCTTACTCCACAATCGGTTGGCCACCGAGATGTGGCAAGGGAGTGACACACAAGTGTGAAATGAGTCCTTCACCAATTGAGCCCAGCTCGTGGCTCCCCCAATCCAGGTCTACCCACTTGAACATAGCACCCCTCCGAGTCAACTACCAAGTGACGACTTACTAGTGAGCGGTGATATTTTTATATTTTATCTATATATAAAAAAAGTGGTCTTTTAACTTTAGACCTTTAAATTTAACACACAAAAATAAAGTAATAAAACTAATTAAAACACAAAAAATCTAACTTTAACATTAGGCAACCATACGAGTGTTATTATATCCATCACAACAAGCAAAAGGTAAATATTTTAGGAACCAAAAATATATATTTAACAATGATGCATCATAAATTATCTCTTTTACCAAGATCATTCAAAGTCATACCATACCAAGGGGCAAGTGACTAGTACATAAATGTAACTCTATGATATAAACCTAGGAAGCTTGCTTTCTATAACATTTTTTATTGTATTAACACTTTTAGTGACCATAAGGTGATGAAGGACATGAATTGGTGATAAGTCTTTATTATCATGAGTTAATAATTAATAAATAATATAGTTTTATCTATAACTCATGATAAATAGACTTATATTTATTTTAAATTATGAAAAGTGGGTTTTAGTTGATTAATATGAATTTTTGGCTAATTATGTGATTTTATATAAATTTATATGATTTTTCTAGTCCTATTTTTGAGATAAATGAAGAAAAAGAAAATAAAAAAAATAGAAAAAAGGGGGGACCTGCTGGCCAGCTGAGCCTACAAGCGGGTTGGAAGTGCAGTCAGGGGGAGCCACGAGCAGGGGCTTGAGCGGCTATGGACCGATGGGGGTATGTGTGCACCCTCCTCTTCCATGTCACTAGTGGCCAACTAGTTATAAGACAACGAGTGGTCCGTACATGCGGGAGAAAAAGACTCATTGCTTGGAAATGTGATATTACTATATATTCACCCAAAACTTCGACGTACAATTGATGTGAGACTAAACTCATGTCCAGAATAATTTTGCTTATTTTAATACCTAAAATACCCCTTAGTTATAATAGAGATATACCATGATGATGTCACTTTATAAGAGCATTAGAGTACTTATTTCAAACTCTCTCTTGTAGGTGGACGACCAACACGAGTTCAAATCCTACCAAAGTCAAAAACTCGTATTGTTATCTAATTAAATCGCAACTTTCCTGTAGGTTACTAGTGAAGGATTAAGCCTCTAGAATCACTCGATCATTTACGAAAATCTAGTCGATGCGATTTGCAGAGCATTGTTACTAAAATTGTTGAATGATTCACGATAAAAATATCACGAATCTACCGAGTAAAGTATCTCTAATTGATCGACGGACAAGTCGTTGTTAGGAAGAGGACAATCTGCCGAAAGACGAGTCGTCACCTCTTGAGAGCATACCAGGTGCGATGAAGAGCTTCCTCTTATTACACGGACTTGAAAATGAAACTCCCTAACACGCGCCCCACTTTTATTCAGCTCCTCTTCGTCAGGTGATAACCACTAGAGACGATTCGATGACCCATTTCATCAATCTCTAGACTTTGCAAGAAGATCTATAGATTGCCTATGTCGTTGCTGTCTAAGGAGAGACTTTGAAGCTGTAAACACTACACGACAATCCTTCAAAATGCTTAGGCTTCTAGTGCATCGCCGACGCATCACCACCACAATGTTAGAACTCTATTTGCCTACTTTCAACTTAATTTTCATTTCATTTAGTGATAATTTGTGTGATTTAAATTTACCAAACTATTTTTCATTAAATTACGATTCTTCTGACTTTTATAGACCTTAAGTTGATCAATTAAATCGTATGTAATCACTTACATAAGAATTATCGAGTAGAACTCTATTTTTGCCCGATTCGCATTCATTGGGCACTGACGTCATTTTGATGTCTGCACCCTTATTTCTCTTTTTCATGAATTTTAAATATATTTTTTATTTTTTAATCTAAAATTCATAAAAATATATTATTTGAAGAAAATTCTAAATAATTATCTAATATTATATTACATCCTTGTGATTGACTTGGAAAATTCTCACTATTTTTGAAACTTTTGTTGAATTATAATTAATATATTTTTTCAGAAATATTTTTAAATGTCTAAAAAATAGTATTTTCTAGTTTTATAAATTTTAAAACTATACAATGACTAAGTCACATCAATTGGGTTACTAGACTCCTCATTGCCAAAAAAGCAACCTTAGATGAAACCACCAGAATGTTCCATGTCCTCTTCCTCATCAAGGCCTTCATAGTTATCAACATATTCTATCTCAAGTTCCGATTTGCATGGTGATTAGGGGATTATGTGAAGCATATATTTGTCCAAAAAGGGAAAGAAAGAGGAAATGAGAAGTGATAGAGGAGATTATGTCATCAGATGCTTCAACAAAATAATTGTATATGTTTCTATACATACCTAGTTGTTAGGGGAGGATGCATCCTCCATAGAGAGAGAGTTGTTAGCTTGAGAGAGGAGAAAGAAATGGTAAGAAAAAATAGATATTATTATTTAATAAGGAAATTGATATTTGTATATTTGTATTGAATCGGATATACTAGATCAGATCTGGTTAATCGGGTATAACTAATGTCGAAGTAGATTTGATATGTTCATAAATGGAATGAATATAAATATAAAAATAAAATAGACAAACATAATTAGATAATTATTCTAATATAGTTGTAATATCTTATTCTATAATAATTTATAAATTCTAGAGTAACTTCTCTACCAATAAAGTGCCACACTAACATTGTTGATAAGTCTTCATTATCATGAGTTAATAATTAGTAAATAATATAGTTTTAGCCTTAACTCATGATAAATAGACTTACATTTATGTTAAAGTATGAAAAGTAGTTTTCAATTGATTAATATGAATTTTTTGCTAATTATGTGATTTTTTATGAATTTATATAATTTTTATAGTCTTATTTTTGAGATAAATGAAGAAAAAGAAATAAAAATAAAAATATAACAAAATGGGGGGAACTGGCTAGCTAGTCGGGACTGCAAGCGGGTTAGTAGTGTAGTTAGGGAGAGCCATGAGTAGGGGCTCAAGTGGCTAGGACCGATGGGGGCACGTGTGTGCCATTCCCCTTCTATGTCACTGGTGACCAGTCGGTTGTGGGGCAAGGAGTGGTCGTACACACGGGAGAAAAGGACTCATTACTTGGGAATGTAATATTACTATATATTTACCCAAAACATCAACACACAAGTGATGTGAGACTAAACTCACGTCACACCTTTCCATGAAAGGTTTCAAAGATTTTAATACTTAAAATACCCCTTCGTTATAACAAAAATATACTATGAAGACATCACTTAATAAGGACATTAGAGTACTTATTTCAATCTCTCTCATATAGACGTGCAACCGACACGGGTTCAAATCCTCCCAGATTCAAAACTCGTCTTTTTATCTAATTATCGTGACTTTCCCTATGATCGACTTGGAAAATTCATATATTAAAAACAATGAATTTTAAATATATTTTATTTTTATTTCTTAGTATAAAATTCATAAAAACTTATATTCTTTGAGAAAAATTTTAAAAAATTAGTCAATATTATATTGCATCCCTATAATTGACTTGGAAAATTACCATTATTTTTAGAAGTTTTATTGAATTATAATTGATATATTTCTTCAGAAATACTTCTAAATATCTGAAAATTGATATTTTCTAGTTTTATAAATTTTAAAATTTACGTGATTTACTATACAACGACTGAGTCCTGTCAAATTTTGGCATAGTTGCCAAGGATGTATTACATAATATTTAGTATTATTCTATTTTTCTCTTAGAGTACACAAAAAAAATAACTCTTGTTTTATTTTCTTCTTGACGAGAAATTTAAAGAAAAAAAAGGAACGAAGATAAGCAAGACAAGGATTGGAGCATACTGAAGGAGGGTAACAATTATTAAAAAAATCTTAAATTTATTGATTTTTATGCATGGTAGAAGATCTTTGCATCCAAGGCTAGAAAATCTTTTCATTATTTCATTCAAAACTTAAAATCCGAAAGAAAAATTAATTTTGATGGATCTTGAAGGAAGTACAAGTCAAACTGAGAACAATCCTATGGCCATGAAAAACTATTATATCCTTGATTCATTTCAAAGAGCATTCAATATTAGAGTCCCATTAACACTCACTATTAAATTTGAAATAAATTCAGAAATTTTCAAATGCTCCCTAATTTTCATAGATTGTGATAAGTCTTCATTATCATGAGTTAATAATTAGTAAATAATATAGTTTTAGCCTTAACTCATGATAAATAGACTTATATTTGTGTTAAAGTGTGAAAAGTGGTTTTCAGTTGATTAATGTGAATTTTTAGGTAATTATGTGATTTTACATGAATTTATATGATTTTTACAATCTTGCTTTTGAGATAAATGAAGAAAAATAAATAAAAAATAAAAATAAGACAAAATGAGGGGGACCCGCTGCGGACAGCCGGGCCCGCAAGCAGGTCGAAAGCTCAGTCAGAGAGTAGCCGCGAGCAGGGGCTTGGGCGGCTTGGACCGATAGGGGCATGTGTGCGCCACTCCCCTTCCACGTCACCGGTGGCCAGCCGGCTGCGGGACAAGGAGTGGTCGTACACGCGAGAGAAGGAACTTTGCTTAGAAATGTAACATTACTATATATTCGCTCGAAAAATCGGCGCACAACCGATGTGGGACTAAACCCGCGTCACACCTTCCTCAGAAAGGGCGGACAACCGGCGGGGGTTCGAATCCTCCCAGAGTCAAAAGTCATATATTTTTATCTGATTATCACGACTTTCCTGCAAATCGCCAGTGAAGGATTAAGCAACAAGAATCGCTGGATCATCGGCGAAAATCTCGTCAACACAATTCACGGAGCATTGCTACTAAAATTGCTGAACGATTCGTGATAAAAGGATTGTGAATCCATCGAGTAAATCATTTCCGATTGATCGACGAACAAGCCGTCGTCGGGAAGAGGACAATCCACTAGGAGACAAGTCGCCGCATCCTAAGAGCGTACCAGATGCGATGAAGAGCCTCCTCTTGCTGCGCGGACCTGAAGATGAAGCTCCCTGACACGTGCCCCACCTCCATCCAGCTCCTCTTCGTCGGGTGACAGCCACTAGAGAGCCACAAAGTCGCCGTTTTTCTGCTCCGCCGAGTGACAGCCGCTGGAGACGAGTCGACGACCTATTTCACTAATCTCTAGACTTCGCAAGGAGATCTAGAGATTGCCCACGTTGTCTTTGTCCAAGAAGAGCCTTCGAGGCCATGGACACTGCACGACGATCCTCCCGAACGCTCAGGATTCCG